AAGCCGTACGGCTTCCACTTAAAATATCTATACAAGTACACGTTTCGACGTGATCTACGTCATCCTTAGGTGTAACTTACAAGACTATTTTCTACTTTCCCCCTTGTCCCATTACTTCATTGTTATTTACATATTTCCGTTAATAATAATAATAATTATAATATATCTCGCCATATATCAACATATTGAATTGCTGGTCCTTCTTCTCTATTTAATACTTGGTTTTGTTTTTTATATTTCATTATTTCTAATGTTTCTCTAATATTTAATGATTTAAAACTTCGAGGCTGAGCTAAAACTACAGTTTTTTCCCCATAATATTGTATGTTCTGTAGTTTCTACATGTTCGGCGAAAGCTGACATTTCTATTTTATTATTTCTTATGTAACTTTGGTGTTCCTGCAATCTATATTTTAAATTTCTTTTAGTTTGACCAATATAAACACTACCACATTCACATTCTATCTTGTATATACCTGTCTTATCTGTTAATTCTATTCTGTCTTTAGCATTCCCTATCATATCTTTTATCTTATTTACTGGTTTGAAGATAGGGTAAAAATTCTGATACTTTTTGAATACTTTATATAATTGACTTGTTAAACCTGGAATGTAAAGTAAACTTATTTATTATAATTTTTAACAAAAAATTTTAAACACAAGTGCCGGTAGTGGATAATATCATTAAATGTTTTTAATTAGACTAAAAATATAAAGTACAAAACAGCATCACCCTAGAAACAAATTAAATAAACATAACTTTTCTTCCACCAAACATTGAACAAATTCGTGATTTAAAATCTCTTATCTAACCAGTCCTAGACAGCATGAAATGGTCTTCAACATTGTGTAATTAGAAGAAAATTGATAAATAAACGAATGACTGAAGTTCATACATTATCAGACAAAACGAGCTATGCTATGTTACAGGAAGCATGCGAGAGAAACATAAGGTGTTGGTAAAACATGTTTAGCAACTTTAAAAAAACTGAAATATAAAGCTATAATAACACATTTATTGAGCTATATTCTCACACAGAGTAAAAAGTATTATTTTTTAAAATACAATTTGTAAAATGAAATAAAACACATTAAGTATATCTATTGCATTTCTAAGTTGATAAACAAAAGGATGTTTCCAAAAAACTTACAACAACGTGAACTTTATGAACTGTTTAAAATAAATCATCCTGCAACTATCCTCTCTTTTAATCTGTTTCTGTTTGATAAATCTTTATAATAAAACGAAATGCACAAATGACTCTTGCATCTTACCTCTTCTGCCAGTTCCTGACCATACTCAATATCCATTTCGTGTAATGTCTCTATATGTTCATTCACAAAAGTAATTGGCACCATAAGAAAGTTCTTATGGCCATTGTTAACAAACCCTCTCATAGCTTTATCAGTCTGTGGTCCCAGCCATGGAATTGGCCCAACCTTATAATAAAATGAGGGAGATGCATAGAAACAAACTTTACTTAGCAGTTTAATAAGCAAAGTCAAAAAAGCTAACCTTCCATTTTGTAGACAAATTCTAATAAAGTAACAATACAAGTGGCTTTTTTTTTTCACTCACTTCTTAAAACAAATTAAATCAAAATAATTGTTAATAAGTTTTATTACAAAATTCAACAGATGGAAAAATTATATCAATACACTTTTATATTTTTTTTGAGATAATTTAATTTCTTATCCTTTTTAAAAAAATGCAGATGAACAGCTCTATAAAAACTTGTAAAAAAAAATCTTTTATCCATGTCAATCTGGTAGGTTGGTGGAAAAAACCTGATTTAGGAATTTGTTTATATCTATCCCTATTTCCAATCATAATCTTAAATAAAGGTTGTCTACTTAATGGCATAAAAGATCTTACTCAAAACAATTTTACATGAAGTCTGGTAGACGCTATTATGAGAAACAGGTTAAATTTGAAAACAGTCTTCAATCACTCTTCATAGGTAAACTCACTGATTGCTTCTTTGAGCACAGTCTTAAAGTTATACCCCATATTGACATTATGTGGTAAAGAAGCTTGTTGGGGTTGAAGCTACCCCAAACTATTCCTTAACGTCTTCTGTAGCCCCTGCACACAATCAACAAACAATGCTTACTGTTAAAGCTCATATGTGTACCCACAAGATATAGAGTACAATCCCTCAATTGTTTGTCCAGCCCAACCTCAGCTCTCTCTCTCATAGGGAATAGGCTAGCACAACACTTACTATTCTAAGACTTCGTACTAATTAACTTGAGATTTAAATAAGCAATTAAATTAAACAAGTTCAAGAATTTCATACTATTAAAAATTAAGCAAGTTTTGATTCCGATACTTGCATTTTTTTTGCCTCTTGTGTTCCAAAATACATCACTACTTGTACTTCATAAATTGTTTTTGCAAAACTGCTTTTTAATCATTTTAAGGACCTGATAGTGCAACCAATCATCCTGAACTAATCCACTTGTTATTCTAACCTCTTACTTAGTGCTAGTCGTGGTAATGCAAATTAGCTGATTTGGAATGGCATTTAGACTATTTTATATCAACTTGAATATTGTAAATACAACCCACCAGTTAATCTAAATATTTGAATTTCCCTTTTTATTAAAATAATGCCTTTTTTCATCCCTTATGATAGAAATAATTATACTGAGTGGTAGCCACCCTTTAAGTTACTAATCAAATAATAAAAAAGAAAAACAGTAATTCATATTCAAAAAAAGTTTTCGGGACTACATCTTAATACAAATAAAAGGAGTTAGGGGTAATATTACATGTATACAAGTTTCATTGAGGAGGGGGCTGGGCATGGCCTTAGTGAATGGCCGGACTTTGAATCTGTTGACGGAAAAATGCACTCCAAACTTTGGGTCATCTGTGCACCATGAGAGTGACAGTTGAATCCCACTAGTCCATCAAACAAGAGTAGCCCTTGAGTTGGCAATGGGTACTATTGACTAGTTGCCTTTCCTTTGTCTGTTAGATCAAAATTAGTGGTGGCTACGTGAAAGAGAGTCCCTTCTGTAGCTTAGTAGGAAACTTCAATAAAACAAACAAAGACTGCAAGGATTCTTGCGTTAATCAATATCAGTAATTTTGTATCTTATCGTGCTTTACATTTTATGTATTTGTTTGTAATGAATCAAAATGCCTTTTAACCTTTTCAAAAAGTAGTTTTATCTTGCATTCACACTGGAATAAAAGAAGTCATAATTTGAAATTAAGTCAATTTTTTTTTCAATAAAACAATCCTATAAAAAATGTGTGTATTTTAATCATGTTGACATTAAGTTAAGCCTTCATTAAAAATTTTAGTGTAACAAAAACTAATTATTACCAAATCTCAACTATTCTTAAACCTTCAATTTTTGTAAATAACAATATTTTTTTTAAATTGTTAAAGTACTGTTAACTTACCTGCTGAAATAAGTCATTATCATTTTCATTATTAATTTTTAGGAATATACCAATATCACTTTTTTGGATGATAACGATATTGATATTTGAAAAATAATTTTGGCTCATACTAGCAACTCAAGAGAGACCGAAGAAGAGAGAGAGAGGCTGGCTTGATAAATTCTTATAAACTTATAAGTTCTCCTTTCAGCTTCTGAATAAAAAATACTGATCTGGAACACCTTCAGGCCTTGCAACAAAGTGATTATTTCATCTAAATTGTCTTACAGCTCAAGCAATGAATTTCCAAAAAAATTCAAAACCAGGCTTGCTGTAATTGTTTTACAGGTTTAGATTTTTAAAAGTTTTAATTAACAAAGACAATCTGTAAAACAATCTGTATATAGCAATAATACCATAGCTTAACATGGCTAGTGAATTGGAAAGACACTTGTCATGCACGATCCAAAATTCTTAATTTATGAGATTCTGCCTTCTATGCTAGATAAGTAGAAGGCATGGAGAACATTAAAAAATTCTGTGTTGTACTTTCAAGAAAAATTATCTTTGTCTCCTTGCAATAATTTTGTAAGCACTTTCAAAGTTCTGTTTTTTTATGCAAAAAATTAATTAATTTGAATACAAAAAGTTCATTTTGCACACATCCATTGAACTCACAAGTCATGAGAATCAGGTGAAAAGTTATCACCTTAATATTGGCTGACATTTTCTAAGAACTAGCCAATACTCATAGGTTGGTATATCCTTATTAATTACAACCACAAAAAAAATCTTAAACTTATCAGTTTTTAAAGGTAATCATTAAATTTCTTTGAACAGTAGGGAAAATAAACCTCCTATGTTACCTTCGACTGCCACACAAGTCTGTAAGGGTGACTCCACCTTAATAATTCCATAACTCTGGAAACTGTTGCAGCTACCTCAGCCGGATAAGGATCACCACGGTTGACTACCTAATGTCCCCCAATAAAAAAAGAAATTGATTGTTAACAAATGTAATACAAAATATCACACTTCTACTGCTGCGTTCATACGTACTTCAAGTCATTTTATTTCTGCACTTTAGAAAAAAAATATTTCACTTGAAAATAAACACTGATATTTATTATTATTAAAATCTGTAAAAAAACAATGTTGAAAATGTTTGACGATATACAGGTTTTCTATTTGAAAAACGAAAGAAATCTTTGTTTTTACTTTAAAACAATCAAATAGTTTATTCAGATTGTTACTGTATGTGATTATATCTGCTATTGTGATTTTTAGTTACCAATGCTTTAATTAAGTACGACTCACCTTCATAGGAAGAGAATGTGCCGAGAAAAGAATCACAATATCATCGCTGACATCACTAGGAAACTTCTTTATTTCATCTTTTATCATCTCTGCAAAAGCCTAAAAAAATTAGGTCACACAAGTTGAAGAAAATATTTTATGTCAAGATCTCCTCTTCATGATTTAATAATAAGAACTTCTGAGTGAATAGTGTATAATAATATATCAACCACACTACACCTGCTATATCTACTGCCAATGAAGCCTTTCCACCAATACTCTAGGGCTCTTCAAACTGGCTGCGATAGGACAAACACAATAGTGTTTGAGATGCTATTTATTTATACCAACAAACTGCTTGACAACAATTGTTTAAAGTGTGAACTGGATTATGTTGGCAAAGTGTAATTTTTCATCAATTATATTTATGTCGCAACACATCAGAACTTGGATCAGAATTTTAACACAATATTATATATTAATTTTAACACAGTATATTATTAATTAACCTGCTCATTATTAATAAAAAACTGACAAACCACAATGCTAGTCCTTTAATCACTTTGCTAACTTGAAAAAACAATAAAAATTAGGAGAAAATACTAAAAAAAACTTTATTGTTAACTTAGTGTCATGTTATTGGAAAACATATGTACATTCTTATACATATAAGAAATTATTTAAAACAATACATAAGAAAAATTAGATAACTTAATCAATACTTCAAACATAATACATATTCAGCTAAACCTAAATCACAGCAACATGAAAAGAAATGTATATATATATGCCCGTGTGTAAGATGTCCAGTTTTTCTTCTCTTTCTACACTTTTATATTTTTGTTTTGAACACAAATAAATCATTATAACCCTATGTGTATGGGTTGGTCAAAGCACATGTGTTACAACTGTTTCACAAAGTATGTTGATGGTTTCCAGATCTTTCCAATTGCTAGATAATGACAAAATATCTTTGAACTGCTCATAAAGTAATATTGCACAATATATATTTTCTAAATTGACCCTAAAGTCACCTCACATCACTTATTACAATGCTCTTGTTACAAAGAAATACTGAAAACAAAGAGTAAATTTATCTACAAAAATGAGTTGACTACCAGATGCTCCTAAAAATTAATCAGATTTTGTTCATCAATATAAAGGAAAAATCAAATTATGGGAAAGTACATCTATTATGGAAAAGTTTGATCATGTTACTTTATTAAAACATACTTTTTTCTACATTAGATTTAACTTATTAAATAAAGACAGTATTTATTTAAAATGAAATTACTGATTAAATGCTTTAAGCAACTGGTGTAAGTAGATATTCATTGATGTAGGTACAGTTTTTTAAACAACTTTAAAGTGACACAAAAATGATAACTCTTAGTTTCTAAAACAGATTTTTTTATACCAGTATCTCCATAACCATAATTAGAGCATGAATTGAACGAAATCTACATGATTTTTTAGCCATCATAAGCTATAACATAAGAATATTTTTCATATCACGTAATACGCTATCTTTGAAAAGATATACAAGTTTCACAATACTGTAATTATAAGTCCAAACCTGAATTAAACCAGGATGAGTAGGCCACCTGTCCAGAAAAGACCATTTCATTCTAGTTGGTTCTCCTCGTTTAGCATAATGTCTATAAATGGCATTGAAACTACTACCACTGGTACTACAGCTGTATTGTGGATACTGAGAAAAAGCAACAGCTCTTTGCACTCCATCTCTGAAACAATGAAACAATCATTGTTATTAATTCTTTTTAGTTCTTAGTGCAAAATTATAATACTTGTTATGCTGTGAACACCTTTTACAAGCCGGTGAAGAATGATTACAATTATATTAGTTATACGACAATAGTATTAGGCCTATTACATTTTTAAATACTACATTCTTTATCTGGCCCCTTACATATTTTCAAGAATTAGAAGATATGACAAACATAGTGTGGTTGGAATATTATTACTACATACTCTTCTAATACTTGAAAATTCCTAAGAGACTATATAAAGAATTTGGGGTTTAAAAATGTAATAGGCCTAACACTCATGTCTTATAAGTGAAAAAATTATAATACTGCTGAGAAAGTATTTCTTACAGAGAAATATAATATATCTTCAAGTTGTAAAAAATACTGATAGGTTTTGCTTACAACTTGCTACTTTTCAACAGACCTGCAAAGAGAAGTTTAATGTTTATACTTAGGAAAAGGAAAGAAAACTCAAAATTCTTCTTTGAAAGACAAAAATATATAACAATGTTTTATACATTAACCATTTCTTACGTCTCTGTAGCTGTGTGATCCAGTGTCATATAAATGAGTGACAAAGGCTCACCTCTTTATCCTGAAAATAACTAAAGTTCAATCGAAATAGTACTGCCTAAACTTAGCATATGAAAAGACTGAAATCTATTATCTTGTCATACACATTTGTAACATTACAGCCACTAGGATTCCAACAAACCTCACATTAACCATACTCAAGAAAAGCATTTTGAAACTCAAGCATACATTCCTTAAAATAATTTTATTTACAGCAAAAAAAGTCAAATGAAAAAAAAAAAATTAGATAATAACTAAACAAAGAAAAACGTGCCTTTTAAAAGTTGAACAATCAATATATTTATATACATCCCTACTTTATAACCAGCTTATTCATCACTAACTAACAAACACTCCAAACCTTTCCATTTGTTCTAACACATCTTCAGTTAATGGAGAGGCATATCTGAAGCCAATATAGTATTGGTGAGGAGCTAAGAGAAACAAGATCAAACATAATTATCTATATGTATATACAACATGTTAACAACTTAAATGCATTATGAACACTAACACATTGGGACATGTCCCTTTGAAAATTGAATAGGTAAAGGTATATAAAACCATACTTTTCATGTGCTAATCATTATTATAATGTTTACTAACAGAGATCCACAAAACATTTGTGGTCAAATTAGTATCTTTATTGCAAAAGTACTTCTTTAAATATGGGATTGGTAGAATAATACTAAAGGATTCTAATTGCAGACACCAAATTCTGTAAGTCCGCTTGTTTTAGGCCTAACATTATTTAAACCTTTATGGCCTATATTCGATAAAGAGACAAATTAATACCGTAAGTTGTGTACAATTTTTGCTTTATCTTATTTAGGGCTAAACATAAGCTTATTTAATACTATCAATAAATAAACTTGTAATGTTATCCCATGACGTAACATTAGACCTTTTTAAAAACTTAAGCTTTTAATATGTTGTTGTACAACTGTTTACTAAAGTACATTTACATGCACATTTTGTTTACATCCATTGAAATGAAGTACACACACACACACACATGTGCATAGTAAGATGTGCATGTAATTTCAGAACAGACAAAAACTAAGTATTATAATAATAAATTTATTTTACATAAATTTTTCTCTGTTGTTTAATAAGTTGTCTCTTGAGTTTGTTTATGCAAGCTCCCATACATTAGCATTAATTGTAACATTATTCTTTAGTAAGACAAAATGACTGGCAATTGGTGATACTGAAACTTTTGTCACAAAAACTATGGTCACATGTAAGTCAGTCTTGTCACACTATGTAAATAAGCTAATCATAGCCAATAACCATCCCACACTGAATTGTAATCTCATGGTTTGGTAGCAAATTAAAAAGGGCTGAAGACTGGTAAGCCACATGCTTAAGAACGTGGAATTTTAGATTGAATATTGCTTAAAACTCGGAGCTCATACATGTTGTGAATTATAATTAATCAAAGAGTTTGAAAATGTTGTATTATTAAGTAGATTTTATGATAATTTATCAAGTTAGGGTTTCTTATTCTCGTTTTTTTTCGAAACTCATTTTGTCATGGTTATATTACCGAGTTAGAAGTTAACTGTGATTTGAGAAAATCAACATTTGGCATTTTAATAATGTGAGCATATTCTGCTTAACTTTTAAAAAGTTCTAATAAATACTCTGTTAAGAATTCTGATATTAACATTTTAGTCATTCTCAGGGTAAAATAAAAGGTTTGTTACATCGTAATTATATGAATGTGTGTGCAGTTCTCTAACCCTTGTCTCTTTATATAATGGAACAGGATTGCGATATGCATGTAAGAGTGTATGATCACAGTCTCATAATCTCTCAAAGTAGTCACTGGGACTGCAAGAAAGGGTTTTTTGCCACGACAAGAAGCTGCTGTTTTAAAACTACAAGGACACTACAGAGGTGTCAATATGTAAAATAAATACACCATTCTCCATACTTTAGCTAAGTCCTAATCACATTCAACAAACCCTTTTTAGTAATCTCAATAAGTGAGACTAATAATGAAATTATACCCTTCTATTCAGGCTTTCCACATTTAAAGTACTAGATTTAGTTTATTAATAGCAATATACCTTTCCCAGTCTGTTTATATTCGAAAACTGTTGACTTAACAAAATAACTGTTTAGTGCAGACGGGGCAAGAAAAATACTATTAATAACTAGAAATTTCACAGGATATTTTTGGAATAGAAAAACTTACAAATTTCAGCATTTTTAGATCTAGAAAAGTTTTTCAAATCTCCCAGAAAGTGTGGGAACTCTTTTCATGATGCTCCTTTGAAACTTGATATAAAAACAACTGTTATACTGTACTTATTTTAAAGTTTATTACGATTTACACTTACAGATGGAATTGACTCAGTATTGTTTTTAATATTGTTCTGTATGGTCTCAAATATATTAATATAAGGTGACTGGCCATTCCTTATATTTATCTCTGCCACCAAAGGTGGAGGGAAGTTTCATTTTAACCCCTGTGTGTGTGTGTGTGTGTGTGTGTGTGTGTGTGTGTGTGTGTGTGTGTTTGTCAGCAAGATTTCTCGAAAAGGGCTGAATGGATTTGGGTGAAAGTTGATATACATTTGGACTATGACCCAACAAAGAAGTGATTAGTTTTTGGAGGGTCAAGGTCATAGCAAGGTCAGGAAAATCCAAAAAATTCCTATCTGTTAACATGGGGACAGATTTTCACACTATTTTTGTTATAGAATGCAGTCAAAAATGATCTGATTTTGATGAAACTCTGTGGACATGTGTAGAATATTATTCCTCATTGCCCTAACAAAAATAGTCCACATTCATTCATAACAATGGACATAAAGACACATTTTAATATTTTTTGAGAGCCAAATATGATTAATTCTGAGTGGCAGAGGTATGTGTTCTACTGAGTGTATCTCGTAGTTTCTGATGGTTCTTCAGGTATGAAACCTATGGATGGCAGCTCTAATGTTAAGATACTTAATAATAATTGTGAATTTTATGTTACTGAATGTTCATGTTAGATGAAAACCAAACCCATAAAAATGTATATTATTTTAATACAGTCCATTTTTTTATAAATACAGATACAAAATGTTAAGATGGATACAATATAACAAAACCAAGCTAACAATTTTGAAAGGTTTTGCCAGTCAATCTGCCTAATCCTACAAGTTCACAATGTTTGGAAAGCAGCTGTCATTTCTGGCAGAAATCCAAGAAAGATCTTATTTCATAACATCCACAAGGTTATATAAGCTAACGTAAAGGTGACTAAATAACACCTGTGTAAAATATCATTCTAAAGTCATGCATTCTCTGGATTTCGTGGTCAATTTTCACATCTTTAACTGTTTTTTATTCTGATAGCCATGAAGCAACCAAAATACACACACGACTAATATTAACAATAAGTTAAGATTTTTATCCAGTTATGCTTTTGCATTAATAAACTTGACATTCTGCTGAATTGTAAATTAATAAATGATACACATCTACATTTTTCAAAATGTTACACCTAAAAGAAGATATTGCTAAGTTATTTTATGTAATGATATAGATCCAATAATCACAAAGTATTTTCTATTTTACATAGTTGTCTTAGTGATTACTAACAAGAAAGTGTATTAAAAATTTACCTATTTCTGCACACATTAACCTTGCTTCTCAATCCATATTTTGTATTAGCAGCCCTCTACCTATTTCTCAATATTTGTTTCGGCTGACTGCTTTAAATACTTATCTTAACGATTAGTCACATTTCAATGAAGTTAAAAGTTTATAACAACTTCACCTGTTTCAGGACACACTTTATCCAACAGTTCTACCATTTGTTTGCCTTGTTTCTCAGTCCACAATTTTATTGGTGATCCCCCACCTATTTCCCGATATTTTTCTTGGATCTTCGGAGTTCTACGTCTAGCTATTGCAGGACCTAGCTTCCTACAGCAAACAGAAAAATTAAAAGATGGACAATGTAATAAATCTGTAAACAAAACAAAGAGAACTTTTTTAAACATCCAAAAAACGCACAGTTAATGCAAGGATGTTATATTACTATTTTTTTATTTAACTTACAAAACATCTGCCACAAGGTTAGATAAGCTCATGCATAATTGGTTCATAAAAACACCTGACTAAATAACATAATAAAGTCATACATTTATTGTATTGCCTGATTATTAGTGCACTCAAAAATTAACATTTAACCTATGCAGTGGGTACAAGTTATTCAAAGTTTCACATACTTAAAATGGCATTTTAACTTCAACTATTGACAAGACTGTACATAAAGTTAAATCAAATATTTCTAATGCTTATAAGATTTGATTTTGGTACAAAGTTTTTTGTTTTTTTTATAATTATTGTCTAGGAGATGTTACATTATCACAATGTAGTTTAAGCTTACCATTGAACAGGAAGTGAAATTATATCTTTATCTAAAAAGAGACGTTCTAAAAAACCTCCTACTTCATCAAGACTACTTGGTCCTCCCATATTTAGCATCAAGATTCCTGTCTTTACCTTTTTACTAGGATAAGGAAATCACACAGTTAGGAATAATATGCCACATAGATATCAGAAAAATTTATGTTTTAATACAGATAAGAGCAGATTATCATTTTGATACAAGTATGCTATAGACATACATACACACACACACACACACACACATATATATACACATT